TTGGCAAGGGTCACTCCGGCTCGCCTGCTTTGCAGGGCAGGGAGCATCATCCATGTTATCTCCCCCAGATTCCAGCTTTGATCCCAACCTGCCCATCTCCGAGGTGTCCACCGAGCCCTTCACAAACACAGCAGTGACGCATGAGGCAGGAATTTATGAAGGGGGCATTAACTGATCGCGATCCGAGTTTGATCCCAAATACCTGGATGCTGGGTGGGACAGGTCAAACAGAGCCCAGGTTGGGCTGGGGCTCTGCAAACTCCTTGTGGGAGCAGGGATGGACATGACCCCTCCTGCGCCTGCAGCCCCACAGTGCCAGGAGAGACAGACCCAGCTTGCAGCCACTGGCCAGTTAAATTAGGGACTGAATAGAGGCACACTGCGCCGATGGCTCTGGCACACACAGGGTGAGTTGTTTTGCACACAAAACATATTCAAGGCTAAAACCAAATGAGAGGCTCAAAGGATTTCTGGGACAAACAGGAATGTCAGATGAAAAATAGCTCAGCTCTGCAGAGCTTGGCTGCTGTCTGGGCTCTGGCTGGCCATGGATGCTTGGGCTGTACAAATCCTTGGTGGAGACATGGGACCAAACAGACCTGAGAAGGATCCCGTCAGCTAAGGAAAGGAATTGTCATAGGGACCAGCATCTGCAGGGATGGTGCTGCCCAACCTAACACCACTTGCAGCTCCTCAGGGGAGAAGGCTAGAGATGTGTTAGAAAGAACAAGAGGGGAAATTCATTTGGTCAGCATTGGTGGGCAGCAAAACACAAAGCAGCCCACATTCCAGCATTCAGTAATCTGGGAGTTCTGTGCTTTCCAGAACTGGAGGCTGTTTTGCCAGAGGGGAAGAAATATCATACTCCCAGCCTGAATTCCCCACCATAAAGCAGAAAGCCCAGGGCTCATCTCCCAGAGCACTGCATCCTGGCTCTGGGAGGCACAGAAATCCTTCAGACCACCCCAAAAGGCTCCTCTGTGCCTCCTCCTGCAAAGTCAGATGTGGCCAGACTAAAAACAGGTGTGGGAAGAACAGAGGCACAGAAGTGAGTCTCAACCCCTAAAGCAGCAGGAGTTTGGTCTGTCCAGCTTCAGAGGTGGCTGGAAGGCAGCTTGCTTTAACAACACCCCCCCCAAGGGACTCAGTCTTCCCCAGCTAAGATGCTGAGGACTGCTTGGTCTAGCAGGGAAAGGAAGAACAGAAAGTTTGCCCAAAAGACAAATAAATTCAAATGGGATATATCCCAAATGACTACCAACACAGCAGACTGACCACTGGAGCATGGTCCATCTGCCAGCCCCAGCTTCGCCATCTCCATGTCTCCAATTTGGGCTCAGCACTGAGCTGCCTATTACAAACCTTGTACAGACCCTGACCCCTGGAAACCCAACCTGCCTCCTGCCCCAGTGCTGACAAAAAAAAACAACCCTCAAACCCATCTGGTGCTGTCACACAGTTCAAGTCACCACCAGTCCAAAGCCCAGCCCAGTGTGGCTAGCCACCTAACCCCTGACCTCCCCTGACAGTACACCCTTCAGCAGCCACTGGTATCCATCACCACCACTCCCCACTGTGAATTGTTCAAGATTTGGCCTGCAGACAAGATGGGGTGAGCCCAAACCAACACAGTTTTAAGGTCCACCTGACCTTCAGACACCCACAGCAGTAGGTCAAGATGGACCTGAATGACCAGCATCTCTGGTTTCAGACCTGCTGTCAGCTTCCCTGAGGGGCCCTGGCTCCTTTGCGTGGGGAGAGTACGGAGGAAGAGGGTCTGCAATTTCTTACTGGGGAAGAAGCAAAGGGCAGAGGAAGAAGTGGAGTCTGAGGGTATGAAGTAGGTTCCAGTTTCCCATGCAAAGAGGAAACAATGCCCTGTGGCTGCTGGCAGCTCCAGCCTGTCCTGCCAGCGTGTTTTGTGGAATCCTGTCCCCCACTGTCCTATGGCAGACTGTCACATGGACAGCATCCTCCCAAGGGATGCACAGCAACCATCGCCCCAGGGCTCAACTGCCACAGTCTGTGCCAGCTGAGCTGTGAACCTATCCCCACCACAACCAGCATCTCATAGAAAGAGTAACTTTTTGGGAAGGCTTTCCCCCTTACCCAGCTCCAACCAGAAGACCAGTGACTGCCTCTGCATCATGCCTTTCCTTGCCAAAGGACTTCCTATCTACATCTAGGATCAGAGCTTGTCTCAATATCCCTTCAGCCTGGCAGGGCTTGGGCCCCCTGATGGGTTCCCGGCATTTGGCTGCAGTATCAGTAAGTAAATTGCCTGGCCTGGAGCGGGGAAAGCCAGCCGAGTCCGAGGCCAGGAGATCTACAAGGCAGCTGCCTCCTAGATAATTAGATAAAGCTTATAAAGAATTGTTGGTTTATTTGATACAGTTCCGTCTACTTGATTACAAGGGTAATTCTAGGTTGATATTAACCCACTTGTTTTTAATTTTGTTTGTTTAGCTATAGCTCACTTAACTTTGTGGGCTGGCAGATAAAGGAAAGGAAATTAGCACCCTGCCTGCTTTGGAGGTGTTTCTCCAGATACCAGAGCTGGGACGGGGAGAGGTGGTCTCAGCAGGGCCATCACCAGAGGCTCCTCCTGGTCTGCTGGCAGCCCTGCCTGTTGTCTGTGGGACAGCATGTCTAAGGGCACTTGCTACCTCTGCCAGCCCCCTGTTTGCTCCACCATTGATCCCCAATTGCTGCTTGCCAGCTGCTTTCCAGCCCATGTTTCCTGGTGACACCAGACCACTGTGCACCTGCCGAGCCTTGGAAGGCGTTGCTTTTGGAAGCAGTTCGATAGGACTTGTCTTGCTCACTCCCCTAGCTAGCACAGCCCAACAGCCAGCTCTCCACCACTGCAGGCAGGATCTGGCCTGGGCTCCCAGCCATCAAGGTGGAGAGGGGGTGATGCAGAAAAGCAGTGTCCCAGGAAGGCTATCTGAGCATCAGGTCCCCAGCAGAGAATTCTTCGCTCTTCCTGAGGGTCTACAGCTGTGTGTCACCACTCCCGGCTCCTACAACTCTCTGCTGAGGTGGGTCTCTGCCAGAAATACTAATTTGCATGGCACCCTGGTGCCAAACATTCCCCCTGTGTGGTTCAGGAGGTCCTCAAAGCCCTGGCACAGGGACCCAGGCTGGGAGCAGTGGAGTCCGGGCAGGCAGCATCCCACTGGCTGCAGCGAGGGCATGCCTGCTCCTGCCTCCAGCCTCCCCAGCCAGCCCTCTCACTCTGCATTGCAGCAGAGGCAGTCAGGCGCTGTCTGCGGCTCCGCAGAGGCAGCTCATGAGGAAGGCATGGCATCTGCTTGCACCGCAGCAGGAGCGCTTCTCTGAGCAATCCCAGCACACAAGCGTAGGCCAGGTTCCTAAGGGTACCCCCCTGTCTCAGACCATCTCCCCAGCATCCCACCTCCCCCATACGCAGGCGAGAGCAGGGCGAGTGTGTGCAATGCATCCGTGCAGAGCTTGTGGCTTCAGTTCAGGGGCTGCCCCGCTCCTTCAACCACCCCGACTGTCCTCAGGAGACCAAAGTAGACCATGTCTGCCAAACATCTCTACACAAGCAGCTCAAGAAGGAATTTACTTCAGGATTCAGTCCTGGAATCCCCTATAAATATAGCACAAGGTTGACATCCCTCTGGGATGCCCCAGAACATGTCCTAGGAGGCTTTCAAATTTGTCCCTTCCAACTATCTGTCCTCTGCTTCCCGAAGAGCTAAACATGACCAGCATCAGCAGCACTGGCACTTGTGCTTGGTCACTCTGGAAGCCTCAGCCAAGCAGGTCTGTCTGTCTAGGCTGGGTGTTGGGACAGAGCACCCAGGAACCACAGGCAGCCCACCAGCCTCCTCAGATAGTTGAGGAAGGGCTGTGCAGGCAGTGTGTCCAAGGCAGGTGCTCCTTCCTGTCCCTGCATACCCATGCCACTGTCCCCATCCCCACAGCATGGCCAGCACTGGGGCAATATGAGCCCACACACAGCCATAACATGCACCGGGGACCAGTCCTGGTGACTACAAGGACAAGGCATGCTGTAAAGGACCTGCTTTCAGAGCTTGCAGCAAGCCCTCAAGAGGAGAGGCTGAGAGCACACTTGAGAATCCAAATGTTCCAAACGGACTGAAACAAGGATCTGAAGATGGAGCAGGAACAGGATCAAATGACACAGTCTACATGGTGTTGAGAATAACACAGAACAAGGGCCAGGGGAGCAGGATCCCTGGAAGAACAAGAGTGGAGAGGAGTATAGACTCCAAGCTAAGCATGAGTCCCCCAGGTCAGAAGTGATGCACATTGGGAGGTACAGGCAGGTGGAGCAGTGGCAAATGCACAACGCTTCATCCTCCTGCTTCAGGGAGGCATCAGCTCAAGCTCTGCACCCAG